TTAATTTAAGTAAAAAGCAAGTCTTGAATTGTGTGGTGGGTTCCACGTTCGCTGTTGCGTTCTAGCTCTTAAAGCCTCTTCACACGCCTGTGTTTCGTTCATTAAGACTTGTATCAGTCGCTTATATGTATGATAAACTGATCGTTTTGGATATTATCTGAAACGATGACTCAAAATTTTTTTTGTCCTCAGCAAGTTCGATTCAATTAGTAGATTACGATCATGAAGACTTGTTTCAATATTACGGTCCATGTTCATTGAAATTGAAATCTCTGACTCATGTATGAGAATTTCATTCATGTCATTCCAGGGATTGTTTACCGGATCAATGCTTGCACGAGCTTCACCAAACAAGATAAGTGGACAATCATGTCTTCGTGTTGTTGAGGAAAGAATGATGGATTCCTGTCTCTGCATGCTTTTACGATATGTTTACACACTAAGAAAGTGTTTAATAATAAATGCAGGGCATGAACAAATCCAATTACTGATATCTGTTAAATAGTTGCCTTCCGAGCCAATATCCTTATCTAATGCTATTTCCCAAATGTTCCCCACCAGGAAGGGAAAGCTCGATGATTGTTCAATTACTTATTTGATCAGGAATCAATTCTCTTGTTAGAATCTGCAAGCATTGTTGTTCTTGCTAATGGTATTGCTCTTGGATAAGAAGCCCTGGCAAAGAGATTCCAATCTGACTTATTATACCAATTAATCCAGAGATATGCCCACAAGTGAACCAGATTGTTTTCTCTACAAAATCTATACATCTCTTTAACACTCTGGTGATAAATTTCCATTGAGGTAAGAAAGATTTCTCTGCTGATTGGTATAAGCGGATGAAGTGTTGCATGTCGTTTTACCATATTTAATACTTCTTTTCTTTTATCTTGTGGGCACAGAATACCCTCATTGTCTCCAGGTATCCAGGATGCATCAATGAAATGAAATTGTTCATTGGCTTCTTTTGCTTTTCGTGCTGTATACTGACTCGACTTATACTTTTTATCTTGTAGTTTACGATCAATTGCACGTTTGACAT